TAGCTAACAACTTCTATTATGCGAATCTGAAACGACGAAGGTAACACAACACCCAGACTCGAAATATTATAGAAAAGTTTATTTTTCTATTCGAACCCGGGACCACAGAGGGGACGACTCATTAAAACTGGCCGGCGAATCACTGTTATTATTTACAAACACGATCAACGTCATAAGTAAAACATCTTACAGTAACCAAAGAATGCAGCTCGGGGAATTTCGGCCACCCATCCTATGTCTATCCTTTTTGATATATTCTTATTATCCGCTACCATAGACCGAACTCAATTTACACTTTGTAATTTAGTTACGTTTTCAACCGTGTTCCATACTATACAGAGATACTTACTTAACCCACTAATGCTAACTGGGGTTAATACGACCGTAACCTTTAAACAGTGGTTCATTGAGCACAGACCTCGTTATATGTACATTGACAAAGACATGCATTCAGGCACGTCCGATGACTTTATACAGTGGAACGATATAGTTGATCATTTTGCGACGCCAAACTCACCATTTCTGATCAATGATGCTATTGAAACTGTCACGAACGATTACGTTGTTATTCAGTTGATAAATAACCTTTTTTATTATATTTGATTTTGCATTCATAATGCTTTAATTTAATAGAAAATATTCCTATTGAAAATACTTAAACTTTGTCCCCGGCACCCTGAGCTGGAACTCGAACCCATGAGCTACCCAGGACCTAACATGACTGAAAAATCTTTTAAAGCACTTGTTACTTTTTCTACTTTGTATTTCTACTTTTTATTTTCATCAATGTTTAAACAATCCACCCAAACATTTGTTTTAATTATTAAATTTAATAAACTTTGCATTAGCAATGCTATACTGAAAAATGCTTTAAAATATCCACTTGGTCCCTGGCATAAATAACCTTTTTTTTTTTTAAATTCAAAGTTGAAAGTTCTAAGTACACAAAACTTACACATAAGCAAACTATACATTTTAAATATACACTTAAATAGAATTTATTTTCATCAATATTATAAAGAGGGAAAAAATCTTTCACATACGGAAAGCGTCATAAGATATAATTTACGCGGGCAAAGTAGCGGAAAAACAGCTAGTTAGGTTATAAAATGTTCTTTTAAAAACATATGGCTTTACATTTTTTTTCAGTAATAATGTAAGGTAACGTATATGGGTATCTTGTAGACTATGTAATGGCTGACGTAGACGGCTCTTACATAAAATAAGAGGTTCTAAAGTCCAATTTATTGGTGTGACAGATCAAGACGCACGGATGAGAGAGACTCAATTCATAAGCTTATTACAGTTAGATCCATTGCACGAAAATTAACGAGAGAGTTAAGAGTATAACATGTTATTTATTTCATGCTAGCGGTTTTCCCGCAATTTCGCCCTCGTAAGTTGTAACTTATCTCACCCGCGCATTAAGTAGCTTCCCTTAGATTAAATAATTTTCATTATTGAATTAGTATTTTATGTAAACAAACAAAGTGTATAACTTTACCTTTTTGTAATATTAGTATAGAATTGTACAGAGCCACCTACCGCTGTGAGCTAACATTTCAAATTAATGTAGCCGAATGCGACATTTCTCCGAGCGACTTTCATTTCGAGTGAAAAGCATTAAATAACTACACAATGCTTTCACAATGGATATTATTAAGGACATAAATAAAAACTTAATTCAAAATATATCATAATACTTCAACATCTTTTCACTTATGCCATCCACAATCGTAAGTCCCTGCGCACATTGCGAAACGCACTTACGCCCAAATTGCGCAATTTAAGTGCGCCCTTACTTGGGAATGCAATTAAAACGTGAACTAAGATGTCTTTGGGAGCGTAACGATGTAGATATTTTGCGAATGTGGACTGTAAAGTCTGTATTAAGGTATTGTGGGCAACTTCGAATTTTTACAACTTATAAATTGATTTGCAATAGGGATCGGTGTATTTAAATTGTTATTATATATAAGTTGTAATATTATTATATGCCAGGACTTCGTGGACTGCATTAGTTAAGTATACTGAACAACTTTTACTATGGGACCAACACTATTACAATTATGTAGGTACCTATTACAAATTTTTATGAAACAGCTCATTATTTTTACGTGAAATTCAGTGTTGCTCCCATAGTAAAAATATATTCAGTATATTTAAACCCCAGTATAAACTTATATACAATCACCAAAAAAAAAATCTTTTTATTTTGATGTAGAACCAAGGTTCTAACTCGACACACCTTATCTCTAACTTCACAAACTCTATACCCGAGTCAGAATATACATAGCTTGAACATTTCACTACCGTTACATGGACTTCAGTTGAAAATCTTATTCACTGTTCATTCTGTTCTTGCTATAACTAAACAGCCAAGAGACTTTATTTAGTAAGTCGCTACATGTCATTGAAGAAAACTTTTAAAAGTCATAAAAATAACATTGTTATGCTTTAACACATCGTCACATATACACAAACATCGAAATAATCTCCATGTTAATTAACATGCAATAAATAATTTAATTTGAGTACCCCTAGAATTTTTTTTATCCAGTATAATCCAAACCCGACGTAATGAGAGTTAAAATAACGACGAAGTGCTTAGAAAGAAGGTAGGTAGTGCCCTCGCCTTTTTTGTAGTGCCCCCAGATATGAATTTTGTACTTCTTACATGGGTAACGAGTATAAAAGATATCAGTTCTCCATCACTTTTTGACATAATGGCGTCTCAGTTATGACACATATTATTTCACTCTTATTATTTCGTAAATTTTGAGGTTTTTGCACTTTGAAACCCACAAAGAGTAAGGTTATTTAGTTTTAAGTATACGACCTCCGTGGCCGAGTAGCTGCTACGCCGGTTTCAAAGTGTCGCTATCTCTGAAGCCCCAGGTTCGACTCCCGGTCTGGTCAATATAAATAGACTATTCTATATTGTATACTTTATTTTTCATGGCGCCGTCGTTATTTCAGACTTTTGCAATAGCTTGTGCTACTTTATTTAGGATTTAAGCATTATATGTGATGTTATCTAATATTTATTAATTATAAAGCGAGTTTCTTTGTAGCTAAGAGTGGTAAAGGTTGTATTATGCAGGACTTATAAAACAATCGTAATAGACTTTCAATATAAACAGAGTGATTCAACAGGAAGGTTTTTTATACAAGACTACACAAGCGAAGCCGCTGGCGAAGACCTAGTTAATAATAAATCGTTTTCCACGCGCTATTCGCCATTCCCTATTTCTATCTGTTTCATTGCGTCTGTCATCTTAAATACACAGCTTCTTGGTTTTGGCTCCCTCTTAACAAGTCTAGCGGCATCTTAGTTTAGTGGTTAAGGAGCCTGCGAAGGATCCGAAACGTCTAAAAAATGTAATAAAATTAAACGCGTTTCACCCATTCAAAAAAAAATTGTTAAATGACCCATTACTAATTCACAAAAGTTTAAAAGTTGCCAGAAGATTTTTTGATATTTCAACAGAAACAAAAACAGCGAGAATCTTTTTTCGGCGTCGTATTTTCTTTGAACAAACCGAGGACTATGCAAAATTGGTTTGTAATTGCTTTTAAAGCTTCGAACTTTATTAAAACGGATTTCGATATCAAAATCCAGAGCTACCTAAGAGTTCTGAAGAGTGTTGAGAAAAAGCAAACTATCGATAAGCTGCTACAACTTGAAAATTTATGGAATATAAATTTTATATAGCCAAATTATCCGTTAATAATCCCACTTTTAATTAGATCTTCTGCATCTTGAATAGTTTTTTTTGCATACTAAGATAAAATAAAAGCTTATACTAATATTATAAAGATGAAAAAACTCCGACACAACCGGACCGATTTAAAAATTCTTACACCTATGGGAACATTATACACTTAATCCTTAACACATACACCGAACAAATCTTGTATCATCTTCTTTCTTTCTTCTTTGACATTAACTTTATTTAACTCTAATATAAGTATAAAAAATAATAATCTGTCACTAAAATCACTAATGATATGACTCTTTCGTTGTTTTATAATATTTAATTGATTTACCGGTAAAAATAGTTAATGTTATTTCATCGATATTTATCACTTATGCTGATCGATTTGTGAACCTCTCTAGCTATATCTCATCCCTGTTCCATAATTCTTGCTCCGTGAAGTTTGTTAATATTTTAAACTAGTTCGAGTATTGTCCTCACCGTTCCAGTAAAAGTATTTTAATTTAATGTTCAGGAACTAGAAAAACAATAATTTATCTAGCAAATATTATGTACATAATATAAATAATCTTAACTTTTTAGTCCCCTTTAGGAAAAATATAAAACTTGTTAGTAGTATCACCCCATTGAACGGGTGTTTTGTTTCTATATCTGATTATATTATTTGGTTTCAATAACATAAAATAAAAACAAAAAATATATTGACATGAAATGATATTTTCAGTTAAGAGTTTAAATAAATAACTTTAAAACTGCCTACAGATTTTAAACTGATTAAATGGAGTCTTTATGGGGATTAGAGTATGCAAATCACTGGTTTTCACAGAAGCTTCAGTGATCCTTTTAGTTTTGCTAATTCAATTGATCCTCCTTCTTGTGAATCAAAAATAATCACATTTATAAAAGGGTCTTCTTGGCACAAAAGGTTTAACCTTTGACTTTATAAATGTATAGAAAGAAGACGATCTTTCTATTATTATTTATAGCTATCAATATTATTTAAACACCAACTATGGTGCTATTTTCGTATCAGATTATTTGTACAAGTCATTATCTGTTTTGGTTTAATATTTTCGCAGTACACTCAGAAATAAAGCATTCCAATTTATTTTTATTCTGATTCTCTGATCGGTACCACTATCAGCCAGTGAAGATGAACATTATGAAGTACTTCACAAAGTGCTCTCAGAGTTTATTTATAAAGTGCATCTGTTTAAGCTTTTGAATTACATAAAACGATTCCGTTTGTTAATGCGCCTATTAAACTGCCACGCGGGTTACACAATTTCTATTTTCAGACTCGTCATAATAGCCTTTATTGCGCTCGGCTCTACCGAAAGCATCTAATGTGTCCTTTTCTTTTGTTGCAGGTCCAAAAGTGACACAATGGAGGAACGCTTTTTGAGATTGTTCCTCGCATTGAGTTCAATTGCAGCGACATTCGCCGGAGATTTCACATCCAACTGCCCACAAGAATGCAAATGTGTCTGGGTCAGCGGTAATAAACAAGCGGATTGCTCCAAATCCCACTTCGAAGAGATCCCAAAAACGCTTAACCCAGACATACAAAATCTAGATCTCTCAAACAACAAATTATACGAAATAACGAGATACGCTTTCGAAGATGCCCAACTGATTAATCTTAAGAAACTGATCCTTAGAGAATGCAATCTTAAGACGATCCATAAAAACGGCTTGAGTGGTCTTGCAATAATGATCGAATTGGATTTATCTAAAAACGAATTGAAAACATTGCACGCCGAGACTTTTAAAGAAACTACGAAAATTAGATGGATTTTATTGAACGACAACCAATTAGAGAAATTGGAAGACGGTCTATTTAACAATCTGCCCTTTTTACAGAAAGTGGAATTGAGTAATAATCGTATTGTCGAGATAGGAATGAAGACTTTCGTCAATGTACCGAAGCTAAATACTTTAAGTTTGGATGGCAATAGATTGGAAAGGCTAAAGATGGATACTTTGACTGCGTTGACATCTTTATCTAACTTAGACGTACACGATAACCCTTGGCGTTGCGATTGCTATCTCCAACCTTTTAGAAACTGGGTTATCAGTAAGCATCTGTATACTTCGCCTATATCTTGCACTGAACCAGCCAAAGTACACGGAAAAATGTGGAAAGAATTAGATTCTAGCGATTTCGCTTGTCGACCAAGCATCGTATATCCGTCGACTAGTACAACACTTCGCTCTGCTGATAATAACATTACCCTGTCTTGTCAAGTTAACGGCAATCCTCTTCCCGAAGTAAATTGGGTATTGAGCTCCCAAATAATCGATGGTTCTTACAAATATCAAGGAGAATTCAAATACTATTTATCTGAAAGTAATTACGAGAATAGTAAATGGGTTAATTTAACTATAATCGATGCCGGTACTACTGATAATGGAGAATACCTCTGCGTTGCTAAAAACCCCGGCGGAGTTGAAGAGCGCAACGTCACATTAGTAGTTATGCATACAGTACATGACCCTATAGTTCCAACTGGAATGGATAATAATATGTTACCTGTTCTAATAGGAGTGTCGTGTACAGCCGCAATTTTGTTAATAATTCTAGTCATTTTGTGTTACTGTTGTTGCAAAAAACGAGGTTCTGACAAAAAGGCAGCTGACACGTCGAACGGAGAAGCACTTATTGAGGGTTCAGTTATACCAGAAATGGAGAAGAGTTTGATAACGGCCGTCAATCCTGTAACTAAACCTCCAAGAAGATACGATGTTCCACCATCTATAATGAGCGGTGCCACTGAGATGTCAGAATTGAATAAGACATTGCTGGACAATGATTCTGTATTTGGTAAGTTAATAAATTTTCATGCTCATTTTAGGCCTTCATGAACATATTGTAACATACATGAGAAATATGGCTAGCAAACAAACGTCACATATCAATTCCATAATCTCTGTTTTTGTACATAGATAGCTAGCTATATATAATTTTATCGATCTGTGACAAACATTTGCCTATAGAGTTAATAATATTTTGCTATCGACTTTTAAAATGAATTAAATCGTGATATATTTTTTTTATTTCAGCCCACAACGAAGATGAAAAGCGCTCTTTAGACTTTGAACATCCATCAAAAAGATCACAGGATACATTGAATGTCGAGTATGGCCGAACTCCAGATTTATTGATCTCATTCCCACCAAGAGCAGCTCAGATCTCCCCCGCAGCGAGCAACGCTTCCACTGTACCTGATACAACGAGGCTACCAGCTCAACTGAATCCAGTTAGTCCTATTCATTCTCCGATCCAACCGATCTATGGTATGACTAATAATCAAAACTTTAGAACTTTACCTTATTCACGTTCACAATCTCCATTCATTGCGCCTATCACGCCTCCTGTAATAACACCCAGACAAGGTTATGTGACAATTCCAAGAAGACCGAGAGTTCCTAGTTGGTCCAGCACAGCTAGCACCCAAATTCTTCCTAGCGCTGAGGCACAAGAACCGTTGTACGACAATCTAGGATTACGGACAACAGCCGATGGAAGCTCTGTACTATCTTTAAACAAGGCGGGACTAGAAGGACAATTTTCACCGATGAGAAACAGACCACTTCCAGCTACACCTACTGCATATCCTACTCCGCATCAAGTGTACTACGCGCCAATTGAAGAACAAGAACCCTCGCCGTCTCCCGTTCATCAATATATGACTAATCCCAGAAACAGCATCTCCTCTCAATTGTCCAATCAGCTCGCTACCCCAGGTCCTCAGGAACCTCTTAGTCCTCGCATGAGCTGGACTGCAAAAAATACGTCAACGCCTCAAGCCGAACCAAGAAAAGCTTTGTTCAGTACAGGTTCCGATACTCAGTCTCATGTATCTGATAGTAGCACTTTGAGCAGGCGAGGAAAACCTGAAACTGGATCATTGAGAAGAAACCCGAAAATGGATAATGGAGAAACAACTCCAACCTCTCCTAGCAAAAGTTCGCCAATTAAAGAAGATACAAGGAAAAATGACGCAAATGCCTCTTTGAATCAATCGGGGACGTTAGGGCGCAGTGGAAAGATACCTCCAAGGCCTCCGCCTAAGCCTAAGAAGAAGCCTCCAACGGAGGTCAATTCTAGTGAACCTTTGTTTGAAGATGAAGGGGAAGATGGCACAGAGGTTTAAATAAATCAAGCGGAACTTTGAGGTTAGAGATACCTAACCATATAGGTGCCAAGCTCGTAGTTACGTCACAAACAGTGATATCAGTGAACTAAGACGATGTGCATTCGAAATTCGATTTCTCTTTGCGGTGCTCGTGTAAATATCGATCGTGCTAGATTTTATACCTATTGCGTACAATTAAAATCCCATGGACCATTTTAAGAGTTTTATGTAAGCATTTATTGTAATTAGCGTACATATTTAGTTACTACAGCAATGTACCCTTGATTTTCATGTTTTAAGTATTTATTAAAATTATGTAGTTATTATTTTTAAGACATGTGGAAAAGCTCTTTGCTTGCCGTTCGTTTTGCAGTGTTTAAGACTGATTGTTCAAAATTTGACAGTATCATTTGACATTCCCTTGTGACAATCGATTCGACGTATGATTCCATTTGAACTTTCCATAATTTTGCTAGAATGAGTTCACTAACGCTAGAATATTTGTGAAGACTGATGATCGTTAGTCGCTTTTTGACTATTGATTACGTCAATAGTTGTTTAAGCGTTATAGTTGGTTTCATTATATCTAATCTTCATCACGTATTTTGTCTCTACACGATGCATTAATGTATTATTACTTTATATTTACTTAATTTTATACAATTCTTCATTCAAAACATTAAGGAAAGATAACTGTTCCACGAATTCAAAAACTTGATTTTTCGCTTCTTCTTTGTGAAGATACTTTGTCAATGATTTGTTTAACAGAGTTTAAAATTTACAGGTTCAAAGAAAATGTCTCGTGTATAGACTCAAATAAAATGTAGATTTTGACAAATCTTTTGACCAAATGATAATCATATCAACAAGTACATCCAAATAAGTGCTGAAGACATTCAAATTGTCAAATGCCTAGTCGAAATCTAGACATCGATCATTCACTAAAATATTTAACTTCGCCTATTCTAAGTTAATATCATTTTAGTTTTAAACCCTGAGGCTGTTTTGTTTTGCCGTTTGAAATTTACACAACCATTGTAAATCTAAACATAATTAAATAAGACATCCAAATCATTTTGTGATCGAACCGCATATAGTTCCTAAACATTTTAAGTTGCTGAACCAACACTGACTATTTGGGGTGTTGTTTCAATAGTTTAAGTGAGTACCATTTATGTTTCTGCCACCTTTGGTGCTTGTTTTACGAACATTTTTAATGTAATATTATTTATTGCAACTATTTTAGTTATTATTATTGTAACATGAGGAAGTACAGTGATTAATGAACTTGATGTTCGTTATGTAGTTATATTTTGCATACTATTATGTGCTTGGTGGTTACTTTCTCTCAAAATGTACAATGTATTCAATTTTTACAATGTTTACTGTAGAAATCCAGTTTTATAGTTGTAAGTGCTGTGTATATAGAATCATTATTATTAAAAGTGATTAAAGCTATATTTCAATATATCTTTCTATTTTATTACCCCATCAGTCTAGGCCGTGGCCCATTGGTGAGTGTTAACGACAATAAATGTAGCCAGAACCGATGGTTTAACGTATCTTCCGAAGCACCAAATAGTTCCAAATGAAAAATCTTCATCAAAATTCTCGCTCCCGTTTCCTAAGTGAGAAGTATAGACGCTCTAACGAATTTATTTCTAAAAATAAACCAGAAAAAGGTTCAAGTCACGGCCGTAAACTTAACAAACCAATTTGAGACGAAACAAAAAGTCCGTGAGCGTGTTGAAAGCACCCATTGTATTTTTGGACATAAAATATTGAATGGCCATATAAATGAACTAAGAGGATCATGTTTATACGTATAGGCCATTCAGCATTCGGCAGAATGTAAATATATGTATGTAAATGGTTTTTAGGTCATGGATATTCAAATAACTTGTGGTTTTAGTGTTATGAAATTTATATAAAAAGGAATAAAGCATAGCACAAAACATATAAAAGGGTGTACGTGTTTATAATCTGTAAATGATTTAGTGACAGTTATGAAGCACGAAAAGATTATTGACAGCCCTTTTGCTACGAAGTGATAAGTCTATAGCTCATATTGAGTCATAAAAATTACAGTTTCTTTTATAAGGTTACTAACATTTTAATTGCTTTAGGAGAATGCTACCATAATACCTTGTTTAAAGTCTCGATAATTCAGTGCTTTGCAAGCGCAATGTTTACGGAGTCGGAGATTAGTCAAAAAGTTATGCTTTTATTCATTAAAGTAACATAGGTAACTCAACAAAAATATTTTCCAAAACATTATTCCTTAAAATGTCTAAAAAAAATACGGAAGCGATGTAAGAAATCTTCAGAACAAATACAATTCTAAAGAGAGCCTTGTTCATAAATTAAACTTTCATAAACATACAGAAGAGTTTCTAAGCATTTCATATTTTTTTCTTGTCATATTCTTTGCATTCATCTTTGGTATATTTCAAAATGAGTTTTCTTTTTATATTGCTTTTTAAATCGTTTATATAGACCGGTGAAAACATTAAATAAATTTGACTTTTATTACAAAACAAAGGCGGTGTTTCTAAATGTTTCTAAAGGTTTTTAACATATATACAACAAGACTGCTTTCATATATAGATGTTTTAGTCACACGTATCAGATATTATGCCTAATAAAAAGTCAGTCGCGTGACTGCAACGTGACTTTTGTATGCATATAGACGACGCGCGCGAAATGCACCGCTCGCGTTAATAACGACTGAAATATGTGTAAATAATAGCTCACTTTATATATCGATAGCTTCTACAAAAACATGGTAACTAATACGAATTAATATGACATCTGAAGGCCTGTAAAATTTCGTCTGTTTTCAAAACGATAATGTATAGCGCAACTTTCTTATATAATTATGTCAATAGATTTATTAATATATATCCTTTAAATACCAGACAGCTAAAAATACACTTTTACAATGGCTTCTTCCGTTGTCTTATGAGGAAACAGAAGAGTTACTTCATCACATTAAGTAAACTTTTATGAATTTTATAAATATTATTACTATAGAATATTTTAAAGATAATATGACCCTCTGTAAAATTTTATATACTTTTGCAAAATTATTTATACTTTTATTATTTGTGGCAACGGAAGTTTATGGGTTCTTAAGTTACAGGGTCCTCCTATTTTAAGTTCGCACAGATCTATACTACTGTATTTTTGAGGACTACACCTGTTATGCAATACCATATTGTCTTTGTTTTGGTAAATAAAGTTTATTATTATTATTATAACTGAGGCAGGACCCGACACTTTATCTGATGCTCAGATAATCTTCACGGGTCTCGAGCCATGACCCTCTACGCTGGCCCAATGCGGATTGAAGGGTATTAACAACTGCTTAACCTTCGGAAGCGGACTGAATAGCTTGAGATAGTAATTTTTTGCTCACCCATCCCGTGAACGACCCTTGCGAAAGTTGCTTGCCACTTGCTTATCCACTACGCCACCGAGCTATTACATGACTGTAATAAAACAAAGCAATTTCATTGTATTTGGGCTTAGGATTTGTCTTTATACGGACTTTTGTCTGTTACATATAATATACAATTTGATGACGGAACTAAAACTTTTGTAACTGAGAAACGCAATCTTGATAAATTAGAGTTTGTTTGATTTATTCTATAAAAGTACTATGGTCTTAGATTATACACAACAAGAGTTGAACTGACTCTTTTTTTTCTATGACAACTATTCTATTGGAAGTTAACTTAATACTCTAGATCAGCGGTCGGCAACCTTTCGGTAAGCAAGGGCCACAAGGTGGCAAAATAAACTAAAGGCGGGCGGCACTTGTGATAATTAACCTTAGAAGCCCAATATAATCTATATAGCCCACGAATAATTGATCATATCCCAGAGAATAATGAAAATGCTATTAAAATTGTTAAAACATACGGAATTTATTTCGTCAGCGTACGATATAAAGACTACAAAGTGACGAGTAACTGATTTAATACAAAGAATCATGTCCACTTTTCATACATTGATTGACATGACACATGTTTTTTAAAGGTCTACCTATCATTAGTGACAATTGAAATTAGTTTTTGTTTAAAATATAATAATATCTAAGCATCTTTTCATTTGGAGGCTAGGGAGATTCGTAATTTGAAAATAATGTTTTGAGGTTATAACCACTGCCAAATTCAATATAATTGTGAAGATACATTAATATTGATGCATTAATATTAAAGCTTTTTTTATAGTTTGACTCGTAAATGTGTATAGTTTATATCCTTATCCTTTATATTCTTAGTTCGCATAAATAAGTGCTATTAAATTTTTTTTAACTGCTGAGTTTGCAAAGTTCGAAACTTACACATCAATACAAATACGAAAAAGTGCAAATAGAATATGAGTTGTTCCTTGGGTTATGAAAATTAATTTACTTTTATACATGAAAGAAAACCGGAGGATTGTCATGGAGAAATCAAGAAAGTACGGTAGCGCCATCTAGTTTGATTTTGGGAACTAATGTTTTTTAAAAATACACCATTATTATGTTAGAACACTATGTTAATTATGTGCGCGAGCAGAGCGAGCCACGTTCTTAAAACTGGATTACACGGCCGATCGCGGTTCGTTCATGAATTTATTTCGATATGTAAAACTTACGAACAAAACATTCACGGGTCGCAAGTAAGACGTTCCGCGTGTTGCCGACCGCTGGTCTAGATTATTTTTTGATTATGACAACTCTGTATGAAACAGAACAGGGAGAAAAAATAATCTCTACTCAATTTCTTGTCACTGCAGTCTGCCGAAGTAGATTTACGAACTGACGTCAAAGGTCATGTTTCGACTTTTACAATAGAGATGATGTCAATGCTTTTTGTCTGTCTGTTACATTATTTAAAAAAATATTAACACCTATTGTGATAGTTATGACGTAGAGAGCAGACTTAACCTAAATCATTTCTTGTTAACTTGAAGCAAAAAAATACGTACTAAACTAATATTTTTCTGACTATATAATGAAAACACGAGACCTACAACTGGCGGCCTTAGCACTTAAAATGATCACAACCTTGGAATAAGAAACATAGGAAAGAACTAATCCTGGGGTAGTGGATGGTATACCTGTTAACAATTTATAAACATTGTATTATAGACGATTGTTAATTAGCTATGATTTGTTTTTCTAAATGTTCCCTACCGTCTCCCTCGCCAGCCTATAATTAGAACTTTTGCTTTACCTACAATCAGGACAAACGTAGGTCACAATGCTCACCTTTTTCGTTGCTGGGAGAAGTATAACTCTCTTAATATGAGTAATACTAAAGCGATCGATATTTTCTACGACTCGTTACCTAAATTTAAGAGTAATGTTCTCCTATTATTGAGTTCTCAGAGTGTGGATTAAGATGTACCAAAATTTTTTTTTGTATTTATATCATCATCATCATCAGCCCTTTTACCTCCCCACTGCAGGGGCTCAGGCCTTCTTTATGGATGGTTAAGGAGGATGGGCCATGACCCTCCACGCTGGCCCAATGCGGATTAGAAGGTATTAACGATTGCAAATGCAGCCGGGACCAACGGCTTAACGTGCCTTCCGAAGCACGGAGTAGCTCGGGATAATATTTTTTTTGGTCACCCATCCCGTGCCCGACCCTTGCGAAAATTGCTTAACGACTACGATCGCGGGCCGCGGCGCTTATCCACTACGCAACTGAGCTCCATATATACGTATTTATATACTCTTCATTAATTAATAACGTAAACACATTATTGTTCTTATAGTAAATGTGTATATATAACAATGTTGTGTAATATAATAAATATTTATACTAATAATAAATCTGAAGAGTTTGTTTGTTTGATTGAACTCTATTATCTCAAGAACAACTGGAACGTATTGATTTCTTTGTGTTGAATAATCCATTCATCGACAAAGGCTATGGCTTATAGGAGTGGATTAGCAAAGAAAAATGTTGCAAAAACGGGAGAACATTTTACTTTTTTAATGCTTTCCTTGCGTGCGCTGCGTAATCGGTGAAAGTTACGCAAAAACCATGTATTACGAAATTGATCCCTTTTAAAAGTTTTAAAAAAAGTATGCGACAGCATATTTCTATCTTATAATGTATCCCGAAAAAATAAAGTCATGAAAATGGGAATGATAATTCGTATAGTGCATTAAATCATTACTATAGAAACCATTGGTAACAATTCAATAACTCATTGTAATTATTTAACATGTCATCCTTTTTTAAATCTATTATTAAAGGTTTTAGGTTTACTCAGGTTTATTTAATGTTTTAATTAATTCAAATCAGTACATTGGTTGTCGCTAATATCAAATGCATGTGTTGTTTGTTAAGTACACGAAAATGTTACATATAACTCAGCTCACTTTCGTTTAAAATTAGAGATTTTTCCAGAAAACATACTTAAATGGGGTCCTGGGACGCGACCGCCTAACTCATGGACGTGGCTGT